CATGCATTCACAGGGTTCTTAAAGTGTTTAAAGATCTAATGGAACAAATTCCTTGAGATATGGTATTACCAGAGATGGTTTCAGGTATCACACTAAACAATGATTAGTGGTTTTTTTGTTTAAGAAACTACAATTTGCTGAATCTCTGAACAAACTAAGTGAGAAACCATGGTTATAAAAACTCTTAACTAGGTGCACAATAACATGCCAACTCCAAAACTAAAGAAACAATATGATTAAGCAAATTGTGTACATAAGGACATAACAACTTACAAAGTAGCCCAAGTCATCAATATTTTATTTATATTTAAGTTTTAGAAGAAGACGTTTCAGCAGAAGAGTACCTGGCAGTGTTACTTCTCTACTACGTTTTTCATGCATTCCCATTGACTCAGGGGGGCAAATATTGTTCGAAAAATAAGAATGATAGATTATCCCTTTATCTGGAGAATGTTAGTTGAGATATTGGATTGTGTACTTGGAAACGAGTCTGCTAATGCCCTGGAAATTACACACTGTGCTTGTCCTGTGCTTGACCACTTCTCCAGTTAACAACAGGAAGAAAAGCTGCTTAAACAAGCTAGTTCTTCTTGCCTGTTTTCTGCACACTCTTTGATTGCGAAGCATGAGACATGAACTATCAAGCTGCCTGCTTTGACTTTGATGAGTTAATTGTTACCTGCTTTCACCTCCAGCATGGCCCATGACTCACTGGTCAAAGGTTTAACAAGGCAAACAGCCTGTGCTGCTGTGTACCTCTCTGTATGGATTTTCCATTGTCAGTCTAAATGATTTTTTCCTCCTTAGCTATGTATCTGCAGTCTCCCCAGGCAGCCAAAATGAGGATGGTGACAGATTCAGCCTACAAAATGGTATGGCTTGGAATACAAGGATGCAAGAATCCTTCTGCTTGTTTTGACTCCCACCACAAATTCCATTGGTTTCTATGGTATTGTTATATACCGTACTCTACTGGCATTTTACTAGGATTCTGTGGGTTACTTTAAACCTCTTTTCTGCCATTTTCCTTTTTATTTTACAGAGACTTGAATTTTCTACACCTGTGTTAATGATCTGGGCTGAACACAGAATGATCTTTCACCTCTCACAGTTTGGACTGCTGGTATGATTGGGGGCCTAATTCTGTTAACAGCACTCTGAGATATTATTATGCAATGTGATGACTGGTATTGAGCCATTCTGAGGTAGCTATAGAGTTGTTAATTGCTAATTATGTTAATAAGCACACAGAAGTCAGTTTTATCTTGGTCTACAAGACTCTTGAGGGAAACAAAATAGACATTAATAAACATTCAGAACAGAACCCTTTTCAACTGCAGATACTGTAGATGTTTCATTACATGAAAATTAGTGGGACATCATTTACTTAGTGGAGAGATATTTAACAGTCTTAAAAGCATATTTTAGAAGACAAAATCTATGGAGAAAAACAGTAAGTCACATATAAATGGAATGTTTAACAGAAAAATCTTTCC